TGGGTTTTGAGATGATCAGTCTTTATGGTACACTACTTGGCTTGGCTTTCTGATCCTTTGGTAGGGTTCCTTTGTAAAATTATACTAGCTCATCGTCAGTACATAAACTTCAGGGATTTCAAAATGTTTTAAAGTATCTGGAGGCTGGGGGACTACAGAATTGCTGGCAACATACAATCAAGTAGCCAATGGAACTCCAGTGGTCAACAGCTTGTTTTGAAACCACTGAAACCTCTGTTTAAAACTGGAGATACATTGATGGGATCAAGATATGAACTCGAGCCTAGAGCTAATGAACAATAAAAAAATACTCTTTTTATGCAAATCAAGCTGTTTGAAGATTGAAATAGGAGTGTAAACACTTTTTGACACAAAAACGATGTTTATAATTATCTACGTTTACCCAATATTTCCTAGACCTTCACTTGTTGGGGGATTGTGTGTTAAAACAACTCGGAACATTGCATTGAAAGCCTGTTGTCAAGGATACAACTAAGAAGAGATGGTATTTACAACATACCTAGACTGTATTTTTCAGTAGATACTGGAAAAGAATCAAGAATGCATTGTGAATCTAAGCATTAAGATTTTGAGCCAAATACAGGATCAAAAGACGTTAGTCAATAAAAAGGAATGTGGATATTTTTTGGGAAAAAGGAAATCAATACAGCTTGAATGTCTCAGGGCTGGTTTGCAGGTTTCTAAAATTCATACATGTAATTTATTGATAATATTTTGATGTTTCTTTTTTTAGAATAATAATAATAATCTCATTGATCAATCAAATAAAGTAGGTGAATAAAAGTTCAGTATTTCTTTTAACACTAGAAGAAAAACTGTTGTATACATACTAATAATTTATACACAGCTGTATATCGTTATTATTGTGGTTCAATTTTATCCCTGGATAATTTTACTTTCCTTTGTGTCATACTCATTATCATACATTTTCATACCCCCAAAACCAGGAAAAATTTAAATTGAAGTATAAAGAAAAAAATAAATATACCGTCCATGTATGACCAAAAGAAAAAAAAATGATCACTGGCTCACTGAAAGCTGCACTGGGTGACTGTTTCTCCTAAAAAGGTTTGAACTCTCTGTGTGATACTCCCTTTTGCCCCACCAGCTACAGGTACATACCCCTCCCCCCTCCCCCCTCAGGCATGCCACTCAACATAGATATTGTACTAAAAGAAGACCACTGTCAACCTTATTAAAAAGTTACCGAGTAAAAACATTGTTACTAGGAAACAGAAAAACCATTTTACTGAAGTGAATTATTGCAGTATCCTTCAAATTCTGGTTCCATTGCTTACATGTATTGTTTCTCATAACAAAAAGTGCAAGTCTTAAGATGAAAGTTTCATGTTACAGAACAAAAAATATCCTTTCTTTTTCCAGGGAGGCCGTTTTCTCCCAACAACTCCCTACCAGGTAGAAATTTCATTCAAGTTTCATATAACATACTTTTTGTTTGTTTTGGCCATGAAGACCCTCTCTCCTTACAACTTTTAAGGATCCTAGAATCAAACAATGCAAATATCCCTTATGCACAACTGTCTTACAATATAGATTTTAAGGCTCAGCAAGGGAAAATTGGCAAAACAATAAACTTCCAGTCCTTCACACATAATTGAACTGTCTATCCCCTACTACACAGAGAGAAATAACTGGCAATGTAATTTTGCTTATCTGTGCAAATTAAGTTTGCTGTCATTAAGTTTCACAATCCCCCATAAGCAACCATGCAGTCTGTCTGGAGGTGTGCTATTACCACCCCTGAAATCCCCTTAGCAAAAACCTTGCATGCCTCCCTCTAAACAATAAATTATGATCACAGCAATTGCAGGCATGTGATATCTTTCTGGTATACTATTGTACTCAAAAAAGACTACTAGTAATAATAATTGATTAGCAAGATTATTGTTTTGGTTATGATATTGTCCTTCTTGGCTGTAGCCCCTCTTAATATCTCCACCTCTCCTGGGGCACCACCTCCCAAAGCAAACGGCCTATTCTCTGTCACATTTTTTCTATTTTATGTGTTTCTTACCCAATAAAATTTAAGAAATGGCAAACGTGCAGCGTGCAACCATGGAGTTATGGATGCACGCTGGAGGTTGCTAAGCACGAAAGAAGCGTAAGAGTCGCACGAGGCGATAGCCGAGTGCGACTCTAGCTTCTTGAGTGCTTAGCAAACCTCCCAAGTGCATCCATAACTCCATGGTTGCACAGCTGCAACGTTTACCATTTCTTTTATAACATAATCAAAAGAGAAAAACATTATTTTCCATTTGCCTTCGGTTGAGTCATCGGTACGAGTTCAAGTATGCTGCCACCTGCCCGCGCGTAAGCAAATCGTGATCTATGTTTTTCAAAAACTTGCCTTTGAGTTTTTCTTTCGCTGAATCAACCGTTCTCCGTCTTCAGGTAAATTGCAAAACGTTTTTCGTTGTTATTCTGAATGGCATCTGTCTGCTTGCTCTTAATATTAGGGTAAAAACTTCGAGGGAAAACTATAGCTGCAACTATAAACACCAACTAAAAAGACTCTAAAAAACATGCTAAAACTAAATAAATGAAATAATTATCAATCTTATTTATGTGACAATTTTTGAAATAAACGCAAAGTAGAAATGAGAAAATTTGAAGGTAATTCCTTTAGAAAAACAGGTAACACTAATTTTAAAAAGAAATTAACTAGCTTTGTATCGAAATCTGTCTGGGGAAATGCAGCTATGAAAGTCAAAGTTAAAACTGAAATTCGCCGACACACAGCCGGCGCTGAAGCTGTTGTTTTGCGACCGTTCTCTGAACGACTGTTATGAATGAACACCGAGGAACAAAATAATACACACAGAAGTCATTTTTGGAAAAATTTATTTGAAAACCCAAATGTTTCTGTACTCAAATGAAATTCGCTTATTCCAGCGTAATGTGCCGTCTAAACTCCACTAAAATTTTTAATCGATGCGATGAAAACTTCACAACAAAGCTGTCTCGAATTTGGGCGTGTTTCCTAAAATATTTGCTTGAATTTAGCATCAGCTTGACCAAAAAGTCAATAACACAATGCTAATTGATAAATTTACATTTCAAACAGACTTTCTCTTCTATAAAAAACATACAAAATGTACCTTAACTCTTCGCTCGCTCGATTATCCTTCAGCCGATTCTAGCCGCGAGGAAAACAGTGATTAATTCATCCAGGGCAAATTTGTCGCTTGATCTTCTGTCTTTTTTCCTTCAACACGACAGCTTAGTATTTTCTTCAACTTGCACTTTTCATCTGTGCATTTCATCTGTGTATTTTACCGTCAGGAGAGGAGATTTGTTGAATTTGCCTAAATTTTACCGCGCTAGCTCAGTTTCTTGGCGTGCACCCACGGGCAAATGGTAGTGGCTAACTGACCAATCACAGCACGCGGTTTGCTTTTGTTATGTTATAAACAGTTTTAGAGACCCAGTAGAAAGTGCTGTGAGAAAAAGGGTAGTTCTTTAGGATGTTTTACTGCCCTTTTCTAATAGTACCACCTGTTCTTTAAGAATTCCTCTTTCATCAACCATTTAAAAAATTTGATATCTAATATTCTCTTAACAAAAGCTCACGCTCTAACATTGAATAACTCTAATATTTCTTTACTCTACGTTCCTTGTAATTCTCTCACGTGCACTAAAAGAAAAATCCTGGATCAGCAAACCTACTAACCTTAACTATGCGAGCCAGAGGGTGTTCGAACAGCAGTAAGACCGAGCCCCTGCAAAAACCTTACGTCGAGTGGCAAAGCCTTCCAGCTGTTAACACTTTAAACTGTGACCATAAGCTTTTTCCCCACGGTATTTCGCTCAGGATAGGCAATTTTGATTGATGACTTCGATGAATCAGAGGCCGCGAAAGCCAAACTCTTGAGTGACGCTCGATTACAAACAGCGAAAGACTCGCCATGACATTCCTCAAAACCATGCAGTTGAGTGGGAGTTTCTGCAACTTTACGGGGCGTGATACAGCCTTCCAGCGGTGAACACTTTAAACTGTGGCCATAGACGTTTTCCCCATTCTATTCCGCTCAGGAAATTGTATTTTGATTGATGACTTCTCTAAATCAGAAGCCGCAACAGCCATAAAACGTTAACGACACTCGTTCTGAAACATCGCAAGACTCGCCATGATAATCCCCGCAGCTGCATGATATTTATCGTTAAAACAATGCTAAATCTTCTTTGTTTGGTCATGACATTTGCTTCAATGGCCGGCTAGATACCTTCTTAATATTCTCGGCATTCAAGATACATAATTCCGTTAGCCTGTGGGTAAATATAACGAGGAAACCAAATAGCATCGGGCGTCCATCTTTGTGCTTCGCGCGAAAACAGAGCAGCAACGCTGCAACCGGATGTGATGTCATAAATCGGTGGATCATAGGTACACGAAATTTCGCTAAGTCGTGGCCCCCCCCCCCCAGACGCTCCGGACCAGGGGGCCCGTTTCTCGAAAGTCCCGATAATTAACGGGCTCGGTAAGCTGTCTCGGTTTCCATTAAAGATCGAGGTTTCAATAGTTTTGCATCTAACATGATAAAACTATCAGTTAACGAAACAAAATGCAGTAGTTTGCTAGCCAGGACCCGCGCTCTTATTCTTTTTATTTCGATTTCAATATTTGATTTCGGGCCCGTAAAGTTAACGGGACTTTCGAGAAACGGGCCCCAGTTTCGAGCAAAAACCGCAATGGTTGGCGTTTGCAGCACATTTGCTTTTGCGACCGAAACAACTGTAGAGGAGCAGAAAAACTGCTCTAAAAACGGAAACACTGCGAAAAGCACTGGTTTTTGGCTCTCTGTTTGGAAGAAGTGGTGCGTAGGTAAGGAAATTACTGATGAAGTAGAAAATTATGAGCCGGCTGAGCTTAACACTTTGCTCGAGCATTTCTACGCCGAAGTAAACAATACAAAAAAGGTGAAGATTATGAACCAGAAACGGTGAGGGTAAAAGGCGGAATGAGTTTGCGGAATGGCATGTGGCATGGCTTGCGGAATGACATAATTATGCGGAATTTAATGTACGCAGATCATTTCCAAAGAAATAAATTAAACTGAAAAGAGCGCCCTTTTTTGGCGCCAATCAATTTGCAAACGCAGCCGCTGTTTTAATGTTGCGGGCTTAACATACGATGACAGTCAAAAAACCACGAAGGCTCATTGTCGACCAGCCTTGTGCGCACAGCCAAAAAGGTTCTTCGTCTATTGAAGAAAAGATGTTTTCGAAGGTCACGCTCCCTTCTACTTTAATTAATTTTTTTCTGCAAAAGATGTTTGTACGCTTAACTTAACAGTTTCTTGTTACCTATATTTGTGTTTCTTGATGAGACTGTGGGTTACGTGATCGTGACATAATTGATAATATTCACAGATGAATCGAATCTTGTATTTTGTTTCCTCAGTTGCGAGCTTGAGACGTGCGAAACAGAAAAATCGACCAAAATGTTAATTTCGTGGCAAGAGTTGAAAAATCAAGTTCTTTCATTTTTGTTCATAGATAGCTTTTAGGTTTATAAGAAACCTAACGTAGACTGTTCCCGCCGAAAGCCTTTTATTCGTGAGAAAAAATGGAAGATCAGTTTTCGATGTCGGAGTTCGTCTCAGACTGCATTAATCTTTAACCTGAAATTCGCTAACATCAACTTTCCTCGCGTTCGCAAACGAAGCTGGATGGAGAAATTTGGACACTTTCCACGAACAGAAAAATTCCTTTCCTTCCACTAGAAGATTTTTTCTGGACAATAGGGAAGCTGGTCGTACTGAAATAATTTTAAATTTTAAACATGAGGGACAAAATTTAAGTTCGTTACTCATTTTCGACGGCAATATTTAACATGTGGTATAACTCCAAATTCTCTTCTTGCTACTTAAATCACACATTTAGACATTCATTTAAAACATACCTGGGAAGTGGCTTGGGTAAGTGAAGGAAATCTTTGTAAGACACCATCGAAGTTCAGGAATTTTCATGGTAGGCTGGCGGTAATTGTCTGTATTGTGTAAACACTTCCAATTTCGAAACGCACATAAGTAGATATTTACAGCCTAAAGGCTCGTTTTTCGTACGTCTTGTAGGTTTTTCCTTTGCAAAATTGCTTTTTTCAATCAAAGAATGGGGTATAAAGGTGAAACTGGGTTAATTTTAGCCATTTTGAAAAACTGAACTTTACCTGCCTGCGACTCTGCCTGACAGTCTGTTCCGTGACTGCACGTGGCACGACGTACGTTTGAAGAGACGGAGCTGTCAAAATGACAGTCACGAAATCAAGGTAGTAACGCAACGTAATTCTTGATCGAAGGAGTAACATTTTCGGTGCCGACAGTATTTTGAAGAAGCAAAATTTTTAACAATGGTAATTCGCTAAGGATAACGGAGAAAGAAGATATTTCGTCTTGTTACTTTACAATCGAGGAGACTAAGTTATTTTGGTCACGCCTCACTATATTTACCGGACTTCAATGTTTTCGTTTGGAGGCTGCCTTAAGGAACCCTAGCCAATTCTCAGGTATGTTTTAGATAAATGTCTAAATGCGTGAACCAGTAAAGCAGTTGCTCACTCAAATTGGCGCCAAAAAAGGCGCGGCAATGACGCGCTCATTCCTTTCAGTTTAATTTATTTCTTTCCGCCAATTTCCATATTTTACATTCCGCATAATTATGTCATTCCGCAAGCCATGCCACATGCCATTCCGCAAACTCATTCCGCCTTTTACCCTCACCGAACCAGAAAGCCTTAAAGTAATGAAGGCATCGCTTGATAGACACTTAAAGAACAAAGGCTGCACCCTGTCCATTGTACGTGACCTAGAATTTAGTTCGTCCAAAGAGGTGTTGGAGGAAAAAGCGAAACAGCTTCGCTTGGCTGGTCGTGGTAAGCGCCCAAACAAAGCTCGGCAAGTATCAGAGGAGGAAGAAGAAATTCTCTGGAAGAGCGGAAAACTCGAGGTAATAACCCAGAATCTTTAATTCAAACACATTGAACAATTCCATGAACTGTTCAGCCCGTTTCTGCAGCTTACAAACTTTAAAAACATCGAGCAAAATGTTGTTTTGACTGCACGTGTGATGATATTTGCAGCATTTGAATAATTTATTTTTGCACGTAGTTTACGCGGGTTGACTCCCTATTAAAGAGATTTTAAAGCTATCTCGCAATTTTTTCATGAATATTATTAATAAGTAATCACATGATTTTTCTCGTGCAATTTGGAATAAATAAGCACTCGTAAATTTTTTCAAACACCACAAATTGCACTCGCCCTACGGGTGCAATTTTGTAGCCTTTGAAAAAATTTACTCGTGCTTATTTATTCCAAATTGCACTCGAAATCATGTGATTACCTGTACAAAAAGTGAAAACCAGGAAGTTTTCTGGACGTTTCACGTTGCAGTCATGCAAATCAACGTCAAGGAAATGTACAAGAAAGTGTGCTGCAATTAGACCTATTGTTGTTTTTCACAGTTCTGGTCAAGGGCATCCAACTTTTAATTTTTCACATTTCACTCACCGGGTTAGGCTCGTAGAGAGTAAAATGGAATCCTAAAATTTTCGGATTCAAAAATGTGATGAAACTTAGGCATCTGAAAAATTATCTCCTTCGTAATACGTTAAATTGCATCTAAAATTTTCGGGAAAATAATTCTGAATTCCTCGTAATTTCGAAAAGACTCAAGTTCCTCTAGAATGGCCGAACACTGAGATGCAAATTTTATAGCGCCACTTAGAATGCATTTCTATAGAGCTAAAAGTACTTTATGAATAGCTACAGAAGTGTTTTCAATTGAATGTATTTGAGGAAACAGTCGTTGGGTGGCCCTGTCTCGCTGCCTTCTCCGCTTAGCATTACACGATATATTTTATATTTAGTATGAGCAAACTATAAATCATTAGCTTCCCTTTTAGCCCTCCTGACTAAATTTATGTAAGCGCTCTTTAGAATGCATTTTTCGATCAAAAGTACTCTGGACAGCCTTAAAAGTGTTTTCAATGCATTTAGGGGGAAATCATCGTTGGGTGCCCCTGAGTTTTGAGAATAATAATAATAATAATAATAATAATAATAATAAAAGATATCGCGCACATAAATTTTGCTTTACGATATCTTCAGCTGTATCTTCTATTCAGCTGCATAGCGGGGGCCAGACTTTGCTTTTTTCCTGGGCGGAAAATTCTCGTCCTCCTTCACCAGTTTGGACAACATATTATGGAGTAAGACGTTGTTAATCTAAGCAAATAAGTCTGGTAGTCGCTCCATGTAAGGGAATCCGGATTCCGGAATCCCGGAAATTTTTGCCTGTAGAATGGACGGTCCCGCGATCGCCTTTTGTTTTCTGGTCAAAACTAACGCAGCGAACCTTCGGTCAGTCGATTGACCTAGAAGCAATAGTACCATCCCTTCCATAGCAAGTGTTGCATTGTTGCGCGAACGCGGTTGCTATGCTTGAATATTCACGTCGTAAGTAAGTAAGTAAGTAAGTAATTTTATTTAACCACATATCGCATATGAGCGATAGCTCGTTTAAATGCAAATGTGCCATAAAAATTACGTGATAATTTACATAATCTACATGTACAAGTAATGAATAAAAATGAGAAATAGAAAAATTAAACCAACTAAAAGATAATAATAATTTAAAAAACAGTTCATTTAAATGCTTTAAGAGTAAAGAGGCTTCTCTACGTGCTTCTCTGGCCCATTTAGACCGCGAACCAAACGCTGTGAAATCTACAGCAACAAAAAGGTTATGGTAATTAGGATGACGCGCTCGAATGTTCTTTATCAGTGATGCCTGCTTCTTGATACAATTGACCAAAGTGGTAAAATTACCATTTGAACGTCTCAAAATCTGTTCCGTGCGAATGTGAAGGGAAATGTAGAAAAAGTAATGCGGTATTGAATGGAGGCAATTTTGCACAACACGAGAACGGCAGCTCAATACAAAGAAGGAACTTGAAGTTTTACATTGCATTTCGATATTGGGAGCAACTTACACAGGCCACTAACAATCTGATCGCCCTTACGGCTTTAGCAAGCTACAGTGGACACCAAGTTGTTGTACCTTTTGTAATTGACTCACAGTTTTTTGGTAATAAAATGAAGAATAGTGAAACGCTGGCCTTGTACTACAATCTGAGCGCATTTAACAACACGCTTCGTTCACACGGATACAGCACTTTAGTGAGCTGGGAAACATTTCAGAGTGTTTGCCGAGACAAGTTGGACTTACTGATACGATTTAGTTATGGTGAAGAAGCTTCACGCCGACAACAAACAACGGAAATTCAAGGTTTTCACACTAGATTTAGCTTCAATATATCGAAAACTGTTCGCGTGGATTCCGGAATGCTTCGATCGGTTGAATCTTTTCTCGACAAAGTGGTCAAAGGAAGTAAGTGTGTTGGGATCGAAGAGTGGAGAGGAAACAAGGAGGTCCCATATCGAGCTTTCTTTCCACTTCCAATAGATATCCATTCTTCCCTTTCAACGTCCAATATAGCATTTTTCAATGCAAGACTTTTGGAAATTGTTGATGACTTTATAAATAAGACTCTAGGTTCAAACTACATTTCCCTACACATTCGCGCGGAACATATTTTGGAGCGTTCAAATGATAATTTTACCACTTTGGTCAATTGTATCAAGAAACAGGCATCACTGATAAAGAACATTCGAGCGCGTCATCCTAATTACAATAAACTTTTTGTTGCTGTAGATTTTTCAGGGTTTGGTTCGCAGTCTAAAGGTGTCTCAGAAGCACGTAGAAAAGCCTCTTTACTCTTAAAGCATTTAAATGAACTGTTCGACAATATGGTCTTTTTACAGCCGCAATTCTATAATATTAAAGACAAAGGAGCCGTAGCCATTGTTGAAATGGCTCTCCTTGTTTCAGGGAAACAGCTATTCTTAACCGGAGGGGGAAGTTTTGAATATACCATAAGAGCACTGTTTATCAAAAGAAGCCCATTCAGTGATGATAAAGTGCATGAGGTGTGTATGCGGTAGATCAAATCGATTTCAGGTTAAATCAGTAGTCAACCAAATTTATTCAATCTAGCTTGATTCAGAATTTCCTTTATACCGGGCTAGCCCTGATTGCTAATAGGGGGAAAAGTATATAGCCTACTCCAGGCGTTCAGGTGCTGGGGAGCGACTTAGGTAGTAAGGGGTGAGCAACAAAAGCAACAAGAGGGGAAAAAATGCTCAATTTTTCCCTCGTCAATTTTTTTGGTGCCCGCGCCCAGCTCATGATCCGAACGCCTGGAATAGGCTAAGAAAAAAGCTAAGAAAACCGCAAAACAACACTGCTTTTGCAAAAATAAGTTATTTAGTCAATAATTGTAAGCCTGTCAGTGTGGGTAACTCTGCGAACGTCGTTTTCGTGGCGCGTTTTTCAAATCAAATCGTCTGTTTTTCAACGACATCTAGGGATAGGAAGCTAAGAGGAAAGGTACTGCCTTGTTTTTGTTGCAGACAAGTTACGTACAAATATGGGTTTTCCGCCTCGGGCTTTACAATATCGTGCAATGTATAAAAGAGTATAAGAAAATAAAAAATTGAATCGAGAATATAATTGTCAGTTACGCTACAACATGTACAAGCAATCAAAGCGATATTCTGAATCGTAAGTCGTTTTGAAGAAAAACTTGGCCTGTAAAAATTTCCCTATACCAGAAATGGTTTGAAATGGTCAAACTAGAAGAAAAAATTGCCATCCCTTCCACAAGGGCAAAAAGCTAAAAAAACACACACACACACACGGACACATGCTTTTCAATTTGGGGTTCTGGGACGACGTGTAGTATATTTTTTGCTGTGTTTCGACGAAGGAGAAACCTGAAGTAGTAATAACCGTTCTGTATGAAATGCGATTTCCTGGTTTGGACGCCGTCTTGGACCGGCCTGGCACATTTGTCCTCGATCTCCTGCTCGGCTGCCGGGATCTGGTATTAATTTACACGTGCAGTGAAACTACAACGCAAACGCCGTTTTTTTCCTTCGTAATTGTTGGTTTCGCAGCTTTGAAGCACATCTTTTCGCAGGTTACCTCGACGCATCTTTTCGCAGCTTACCCTGAGGTAAGTGACGTTTTGTTGAGTTGTTCGAACTTCCCGTAGCAAATATGTCTAATATTAAAAGCAACTTATCATGATATCAGAAATCTATGTTGTGGTGTGTTCTCTAGCAAACAGACGCTTCGTTTCGCTCCGGCTTCGATAACGACCTATGTTGGATCAAAGCAGCTGCCTTTCTCAGGAGGGACATAAGTAAAATGAAATTAGCGGAGTAACGCATTAAAAATACATGAAGTAACGAAAAACTAAACAAAGAATTCAGTAACATGAAAGAAGAAAGTTTTTAACTCTAGATTAGCCAGGCTCAATTTTCGTTTGGCTTTGTAAGTAACATTCTGGCGGGCAAGGCGAAACGAAAAGAGAGCCTGATAAAAAAAACCTTCTGCGAAGCGTCTGCCGCCCACTTTTTTGATTGATTGACATTTTCTGAATCAGCCAACCAAAATTACCTCCATTGTTTGTTGTTTTAGTATGCAAATTTTTTCATACGTGGGAAAACTGCAGACTCGCTGACTTAAAAAATAGCGTTTACCTTTTAATTTTTTAAACTAAATATAAAACAGTCAGCACAATCACATTTAACTTCTTACGAGATTAAAGGAGATGTCAAGGTTATTTCTGTTGGCGTAGAAGGTGAAAAGTTTTCGAAAAGAGGGCTAGACGATGTTGTAGTTTTAATAGACCTTGTCACGGTTTTCTACGCCATCTTGACGAGTAAGCAAACACGTGAGAAATTACAGTGTTTGTATGAGAATCTAATGTCGAAAAATTTCCGTAGAACGGCTGTTCAAAAAAAAAAAATGATTTGTAAACTAAAGCGTCACTCCTAAGGATTCTCCTGAAAAAAATTGAGGGCGTTACATGCACTAGAAGACCTAGAACTGCTTTTAAA